ATGACAGTGAGACAATTTTGCCATTCGGAAATCGATAATTTGTCACAATACTGCGCCGGTCTTCTCTCTGCGTGAGTCCTGTTCCCAGAGTATTCTTTCCTTCCCCGTTTAGGAAATGAGCGGCATATTCCCCGTTCGTCGACTCTTGTCTAAGCGCGCGGAGGGACTACGGTATATGTATTCGGAAATTTCCTTCAATCGAGAGGATCACTCCGGTCTGCGCCCAGCTGATTTCTCTCCCGTGGAGGAGGCTCCTTAAAGCCTTGAAGAGCTTTTGCGGTCCTAATTGGACCGCCCCCGAGATCCCAGGGCTTCGGACAGCGCAGACACAGGCAATGTGTAATCCTAATCTTGCAGCGAGCCGTGGTTTCACTCTCACGAACACCTGCGAGGTCTTATGAGCTAATTCGATGAGACCTTAATCCGGGCAAAGTTGCGCAAAGGCTCTTAGCGACGCGTCAAGAAGCCTCGAAGACTCAATCAGAAGTCTGCGGCGAAGGATCCTCCGGAGCTTTACGAATGCGGCTACGCTTTCTTGAGACGATATGGACCACAAAACGCATGACCCCGAGCGTGGATCGTGCTTAGGGTCCTCTGTACGCCATCATACGAGACGCAGGAAAATCATTTCGCCCGATAATCGTGCGAGAGAACCTCCAAGACACCGCTCGCGATTTGCCCGTGAGGCACTATTCTGACAAACAAAAAACTCGACTGTCTGGATTGTCGCTCGACTGCGAGTACAATGGAGCGGCGGGGGTATCTACGCAGATGGACTCGAATTTCGGGTGAAATAATCGATTCGAGTCGCGATTCGGCTGCCTGTGGTTTTCTCGGCGGTCACACAGCTTTCCGTCTCCGACCACCTTATCTTCACTTTCATCCCCGAACTCGGAGCTCAATTTTCTACGTGCTCGAAACTTCAGCCAACGATAAATCTCAGGGAAGGTAACGAAACTTGAGATCGAGTTTTCGGGCTTGGCGTTGAGACGCAAAGACTAAGGCGTCCAGATGGAGAGCTGGGAACTTTTTCAAAACTCAGCCAGTCAGTCAACTTCGGCCGGATGTCCAACAGCACAAGAGCGGGTCGAGACGGAAGCGCAGAAAAGTTTTTCCCGGTGCGCAAATATACGGCGTCCCTCAACACTGAAACAGATGCGATACGCTGTGAGTCTTCCTGAGAATTCCCATAGGTTCAGGAATCGACTCCGATTCCTTATTCTACCAACCCTGACGGAGAACGGACATATTTGAAAGTAAACGGACATAATTTGAGAGTATTGCTCGTCGAGTGAGGGGGACCCGAACCGAGCAACGAAGAGCTATCGAGATAAACTACGATTCCGCACTACGTTTCGAGCGTAGGGGCGCGATGAAGACATTTTACAATCGAGAATTTTTCCTCGATTCCCGTCACCCTCGAGGATATCTTGCTCCATTGCTCTGCCGCGGGCCGCCTGACCCGATCAGGGGGCCTACGGATCCGAGTCCCGTAGAATTCGGGAGGGAATACGTGAGCTCCACGACAGCTCTCTGCGACGACGATCGAAAGCTCAAAGATCGTAAGATGGAGGACTCGCTCACGTCGGCGCCTGTATCCCGGGAGCATTCACACAGAGGTGCATCGCATGGTCTGTCGCCAGGAATTCTCGGGAAAATGCTGGCCGAGGTGCGATCGGGAAAACTCAGTCGTACCTAAGCCGATTACTGAAGTTGCGCTGATGCTTAACGAGGTTAGCGATGGAACTTTCGCGAGAGCCAAAGGCTCTCATCCGGGCGTTTGACAACGACTCGTAGAAAACATACGGCACCCTTGGAAGCAGACGACTAGCATACCAACCCACTTACGACACATCACGTGTTCATTACGAGCACTCCCCTCGTGGTGATGCTGATAGCGAAGAGCTGTACGGTCGGTAAGGAGCTCGGTGCTCCTTCGCTCGAGAGTCAGGGAGGCTGTCCGGCAGCCTTATGGTTCAGAGTCCCAACTCCGAGTCGTAATACTCCGCCTCCGTTACCTAATCAAAGGACTGCTCATGCTGAGTGGAGGCCTTCCTCGTCGGACCTTAAGAAGGAACTCTCCAATAGAGACGGAAGCCGCGCAGAACGATCGACGGCGGATTATGGCTCGGACTCCGACCCTCCGTTTCTTTCTATCCGTCGCTTTAGACTGAAAGTAAAAACGATTTTTCCCCGTTCTCGACGGACACGCTCAAAGATCCCGGCCCGTCCATCTATGCATAACTCTATCCACTTGTCGATCGATTGATCTAACGTTGGGCCATGCATCGGTTTGCTTGATGCTGGAGCATTCTGACGTCTGGTCCGAGCTCCGAGGGAATATCGAGTTTTTCCGCCCCTATCGCTCATTGCTCGAACTCAAAGAGCTCCCAGTCACGCGGATTCCCAGCGCAGGGCGAATTCGAGCCCAGGCCACGGTGCGCGTGCACCGGACAGCTCAGCTCCCAGAACGCGGTAGCGCCGCTGATGAGACCTCGGAATGTTCAGCGAGAATGAGTCTTCCTGCTGCTAGCTGTGAAAAGTTGTTCACCCGCACCTCACACCGGAATGTCGAGCACTACACTCGCTGCCCGTTTGACGCGCAGTTTTTTTTGAGGATCCCTGCAGATCCCTGTCGATTGTCGCTCGATTTCCCGCGTATTCACACGCTGAGACGAGGCTTATCCGGATCGAGCTTGAGAACGGAATCCGAGCATTTCTCGAAGATGCTGATAAAAATGCTGAGACTCTGTGAAGGAATGCAGTTACATCTCGTCGCTCAGCTGAACAGAGCAATCCAAGCTTCCTCATTATCCCCTGCGCGGAGAGGGGCGGAAAAGCTTTCCGAAGGAGATTCGTTCGGGTACGCGGTGCGCCGATACTTCTCTCGATTCCATCGGAAATAGTGCCGCAGAGAAACGCCGCGCGAGCTCTCCGGAACTAGGTACTCTAGAAAGAACCGCATCCGGAGGAAAGCAATAAATAAGAATTTTACGCAGGGCCTCTCCAATAACTATTCGCTGACATCTCCTGTTGTGGATGATCCGAAGACCGCGATCGTGATATCGCGAGATGGAGATCTGATAGACACTTTACGTGGACTCGTTGCGAGCTCCCTTGCCACATCAGAAGCGTTGGTTCGCATTGCTCAACGGTAAGATAGCCTCTTTTGCGCCAGCAGGAAACGGATGGAGCCGATACGTAATCTTTGTTGCGTATCGTAGATATCCTTATGCAAGACGTGCCCTGTGACGGCCGAGACTCAGTGAGTCACTGCCGAGAGCTCGTCGATCAGCGGACAATCTTGCGCGCTCAACTGCACTCATCTGCCAGAGATGGCGTAGCGAGGCTCATTGAGGCCTCATTCTTATAGAACAGTTCGTGTTCATATTCGTGATCGAGAGTCACGATGAGAGTGCACGGAGCCACACCGAGAGCATGACTGAATTAAGAAAACCGGGAAGACTTTGAGATAACTGCTGCATCGGGCTTCGAAGAGACACGTTGATCTGATATTGCTCGAGCCCTCATGATAATTCGCGAAACAGCTCTAGGCTGGTGCTCAAAGGGATAGCGCGAAGAATCAACTCAGTGTAAGCAAGTGAGCCGCAAAAACCGCCTGCGGAGGATAATCGCAATATCTTATCTATATCCTTTGAGACTGGCGCGATTCCGCGAAATCGGTGAGTTCGGGAATCTCTCAACTGACGCTGGCGCGGACGATCGAGGTGCTCGCTCTCTCTCTCTTGCGAGATGCTCCCAAAGGATATTTATTCAGCTCTTTGTCAGGCCCTCGCTCTTCGTCGTGGGTCTCACGACCGAAAAAGGACTCAAGGATGACGAATGCCGCTGCGACGAGTCGGTTGGGTCTGCGAGCGCGGCAAATGTGTCAAAGTGATTATTCGAATCTCGGATTCGGGAATGGCATACCGACGGCGCACTTCTTCGGTATCGGAACGAGGACGAATCCGCTGTCGTGTTTTCAGCTCTCTTTGGTTTCTCGTATCGGTTGCGCGACCCTGGTCGGCTTTGGCGCTCGATGTGGGAGAGCCGCGTGTCGATCAGGTGATCCGCTCGGGAAGTGTTTCGTAGTATGTATGGGGTATGGAGTCAGTGCTCGGCGCTTGAGCGCCAGTCGGGGACCCTCAGTCCGCTTGTGGAGTAGGCTCTCCCCGATGTTTTTATCGAGTTTGAGGATTCACACGATTCGATCCCGACCGGAGTCGACGACCGAACGCAGGCGGCGGTCACGAGCTCAAGCTTCGGAGAACTTCACTGGAATTTTCCGTTGGGCTTATGCACATACCGGCCGTGAAGGCACTTCGAGCCCGGAATAACTATGTTGACATCGTAATGAAAAGGTCTTTTGCTGAAAAATAATGATCACTGGAGAACACGAAAATCTTACGATGAGCTTGCGTCCGAACGGCTCGGGAAGTTTACCTTGACCTAGTTGAGGTGATCAGACATCGATTGAAAAGAGTTCGAGGTCTGTTCGGTGAAGGAGAGCGCTAAAAGTTGTTCGGTGTAGGAGAGCGCTAAAAATTGTTCGGTGACAGACACATACTGCGATTTCATCCTATCGGGGTGCCTATCCTCATCGGCACGGGTCTCCTGTCCGCATCTCCGGATCTCCTTTCGGCATCTCCGGATCTCTTTTCCGCATCTCCGGATCTCCCTTCCGAATTCTGAGGGAGGCATTCGTATCGACAACCCTCAAGCTTTCCGGGGTTAGAAATTTCTCACGGCGACACCCGACATCGTACAAGAGCTCGCAATCGAATACACTTGATATCCTCGAAACTGTCGTGTGCCCGACTCTCGAGGCTCTCGGTAAGCACTGGGGTCCAGCCCGGTGTGTCGCGAGCGAGATATTTGCACACAGATCGAAACTCGTCGAGTATGAACTCTCGTGAGAACTCGACAAAGCTAGGGAACTCGAAAACAAGGCAGCTACGCCGAAATCTCTCCAAGGAGAACAGTCCTCCTCCTCCGGAAGAATGAAAGTGAATGTTGGTTTCTCGCTTGTTTGGGCGTGGGTTCTTCTGAGAAGCAGAGTGTTAACGGAACCTTTGTCTCCTGTCGAATTCCGAGAGCCTCTGACCGTGAACGTCACCCTCCTGATCGAGAGCGTCGGCGATCCAAATCCAGTGACCATGGTATGGGTTTTGTTTTGAAATGTTATTGAGCCAGACCGGTTGAGACGAGCGCCTGCGAGCGGTCGGATTCGCCTTCCTAGAATCATTCGATACGTAATGGAACAATCTCCTCAGGATTTCGAGCTGGAAATCATTTTGCAACTTTATTGGCATGTCAAGTGGGAACTTTGTGCTAAATACTTCAACGAAACCTTCCTCGCGATTCTCCTGCTCAAACCACCGAAAGCAAACGAGTACATCCAAGTTCCGAGCACGAAGGTGAGTCCTCCACTGTAGTGGAGCGCCGACTACGGGATGGGAGCTGCGACTCTGTTCCCCAAGCCGATCGGAGCTAGCACTACAACCTATCTACCGAAAATTCCGGAGCTCGTATCGTATCAGCAAGAATCGCCACAAGCCCGGAAGCTCACGCCATGTGGGCTTTTAGGGGCCCTTCCGCGGGGAGGGCATTGATGCATGCGCATAAGTGAACGGACTCTTCCACTCTGTGAGTGTCCGCGAGTGAGAATTGAAAAAGTCATCCAGATCCCTGACCCCAGACCGTTCCAGGTGAAATATTTTTGGGTACCCGATCTCTACTACGTCGAAGGCAAGGACGTCATCCCTCCGTCAAATATAAACCCCCCACGGTCGCTGCTCCTCTACAATAATGGCGAGAACAAGGATTGTCGCTTAGTTTTCAAAAGCAAAGAAACCGTGACGGTGGGCTGCCAATTCAACTTCAAAATGTATCCTCTAGACATCAATGTTTGCTATCTCAATATGCGAAGCTGTGAGTGCTCCGGAAATTCGAAATCGCTTCAACAAGTCGGCTTGAAATCGAGATCGCTCAGATTAAACCTACCTCGTTTTCATCGTCAGGGTTCAGAATCCGTAATTAGTCTGAATTGATCCCGGGGCTTTCCAGTTTCCTATCCGACGAGCCGATTGAGGTTCAAATGGTTGCAATCCAGAGGTGTTTTGATAAATCCCAATATTCAAACCCTCGTGTGCCAGGTCCAGATAACTTCTTCGGAGGATTTTGGGGAATGGTATTCCCTGGAGAATGAAGGTGGGTGCCTCAATCTGCCTGACCCCACCCGGTCGAAATTCGGAGATATCTTCGGATTACCCGTCCAGATGATATATTATCCGATTCAAGCAGCGTCCATTTCTCAGGAAACTACGACGGTGTTCGAGTATCATTCAAATTCTCGCGCAAGCTCGTGAATCAGCTCATCACAACCTATATTCCCAGGTGAGGCGTGACCCTATCGCGTATAAATAAGGGACCCAAGCGCAAAAAGTGTCAGTTCTGTGACACGAGAGGGGATCCCGGCGATCCCGGGATCGGAGAAGAAAAACACGGGAATATGAAGGTCTCCACTGACGTGCAGTCAGCCGTGACAATCGTACATATGTGCAGGCTCGGGGCGAGCCTTTTCATGCGTTAAGCTTTGAAACGGCGTAATGCGTCCATCTGCGCCTCTTTCATCTTCCCATCGCAGAAGAGGAACGCTCCAGGGGACATCCTAACAAGATGACTTCGACGCCACGATGTTTTCCCAACGCTCGATATGAATTCCTTCCGAATGGAAGGATTGTCGATCCGACCCCAATCGTCTGCCCTTAGATCGATTGAGCTCGGCCCCGTATAATGAACATAATCGATTGATTATTTATCCACGCCGGCTCCCCGACTTCGAGTCGCATTCAGTGCAGCGATGACATTTTCTGGTTCCTTCGGAAAAAGACAATAATCGAGACTGTCGTACCGCAACCCTCAGTATATTCGTTCCAGCATTCTGCTCGTATTGGTGGGATTTTCCTGTTTCTGGATGAGCGTGGATGCTGGTGGTGAACGTATCACTCTGACCATAACAACGTTATTGGCTGTGTATACGCAAATAACTCAAGTGCGACTAAGTATTCCGCCCACGTCCTACCTAACGGTACGTCAGATATCCTGGATTTCGGTCAGGTGATTAGTCATACAGAACTTTGCTTCTCTCACGAGCAATGGGAGTCCAAGGAAGCTGCCAGTGGATCAAGGATCCGAGTTGGGAGATTCGGTGGACGGACCTCTCAGGAATCCCCAGCTCCGATAAATGGAGACTTGATCGCCTTCAGAAGTTATCGTTGTGCCGTGGGCACAGCAAGTTCGAAAGTTTGAAAAAGGATATTACAAAACCCAGCTCAAACGAATTTTCGTGTTTTTCATAGAACATCGATATCTGGCTCTTCGCAACCCTGGGTTTCAATTTGCTGTCGACTCTCGAGTGCGCCCTCATCCAAGGCATACAGTTCAGAGAGCACAAAGAAAACGAAGCTGCAAAAGAAGTCTCGGGCGAAGATGAGGCGCACGAAGAACAATTGAAGACGATGCGCGGGAAGCATCGCGGTCCTCTCCCCTTCGTGAGTCCTATCTTATGCCTGTACTTATTCTCCGATCCACAACCCGTGTGCGTAAATATAGACATCCCCTCGCATTATTCTACTGAGGAACCTCTCGCTTTTCCTCGTCGTTGCAGGAGGGAACCGAGTGGGAGGACCAAGCCGGTCGTTCGAGTCTCGGGAGGATGTACCACTCGATAAAGACTAGGCAGACTTTGCTGAGACGGAAGGAGGATCAGTCTTTCACAGAATACTGCGATGGCATCGGTCGTAACGTACTCATAGGATCATTTCTGGTCTTCTTTATCGGCTACGTTGTTTATATGGTCATAGTCAATGCGACCGCGAGCTGAGATCGAGAGAGGGGGTTTCCTACGGGGGGGCACACCCACTTCAATCAATCTGCTCGAAGATTCAACCTTCGAGCAACCGGAGTCTGCACCAGGCGTGGTTGGACTAGCCCAATGAGATCGCATGGGATGAGCTCGATGTGGCAAGCCGCGAAAGTCTAAACTTCTCAATAAAGTGATTTTTCTCCCGGTCTCTAAGAGCGAGCGAGTCGTATAGTCTTTAGCAAGCGTGCGACCCTAGTCGGGCTTTACAATCTCTCATCCGAAAGGATATGTCTCCTTACCCAAAATGGTGCCGTATCGAGGAGCATCGGCCGATTTCCCCCGAGATTCGGTAGACGTCGTGTGCCTCCGAACCCTCGGAAATTCACCGATCGAAAATGACGGTAGCGGTAGGTGATCAATTTCGACGACGTCTCTATGGCTCAACAAGGAGGAGCGTGCAGTGCAGAGCTCTTGAACAATTGCTGAGGTGTCTGACGGAAGGGTATCGATCGAGCATACGCCGTCGACCGAGCGAGCCGCGACGCAAAACGAACTTCATTATGGCTTCTATGGATCGCTGAGGTAGGGCCGTCGAGGTTCGGACAGCGCCGCGCCCCAAGTCCCACTCTTTCGGAAAATGGAAAATATCCAAACGCAATGTTTCCCGACTGCGGAGCGCACATCAATGTGGCTCATGGCTCAGCAGTTGGATTAGAGGAGTGAGAGAACGGATGCATCGAAGTCTCGAAACCGCCTCAGGCCGCGGCAAGTTCCGGCTCGCATTACCCTTTTGTAGTGCGAGTCGCCGAGCGCATTGCTTATGTAAGGCCGCGAGCCCTCGCTGGCTCCCGTCTCCTCAAGAGAGCCATGCCTGGTTCCCGAGTTCTAGCTCCGACAGATGACTCCGCCGAAAGCATTTCCACGTGCACCATACGAAAACACACATGTGCCTCAGGAAACGGCGATGTGATAGACTCTAGATGCTGGACAAATGCCCCTCGTTGGGTGTCAGAGTCGTGGTCCTGTCTAATTGATGATGTTTCCTCACATCCGTCGAGCATAATACCTAGAGTGTCTTCGAGCCGCAGAAGCAATCCGTCGGCTGAACTTTATCGTAGAGCTTCGGCTTACTGTATCCTTACTCCTTACGGAATCGCTTTCAGAGGACGCACTCGAGAGCCGGAGACTCCGAGGGCTCCACGTCAGGCACGGAGGATCGCTCAATTTCGGTCGTGGATTCCAGCCGCCGGAGCCAAGATCTCCTTCCTTCTCCCGGCAACTCTGTTCCTTGTTTCCGGGGACGCGGCGCTGAATGCGAATAGTCTGATGCCCTCCGAGAAGGATGAGGAGGACCATCTTCTACCTTACGGATACATGCTGGTTTTCTGTCGACTTTCCACCTCGCTGATCTCCTCCGAGCAGACTGCAGACGGAGACAAGACATGGTCGCTTTTGCGGCTGAATATCACCTACGCTGTTTCTGTCCTGTGTCCGATTCCTACCTGCATCTATGTCAGAGTCACCAAGTGTCGATACTGTACGCTACCCCTAACACATATATGGGCTTCGCCCAATGGCTAGACGCGAATGATGGGCGATTTCCGATGATTGAATCATGATCATGCGCGTGACTTCAATCAACGCCAAAACAGCCTTGTTATTTTGATGTATTGTGATTTTATCTCAAGTATCCAACCCTTGGTCAAATCATTAATTTCTTTCATAGTGGAAAACATATTCCTCGATCCTTGAGTGACCGAAGCAGTCGATGATGGAACTAGTCATCAGCCGGGAACTTGTCTGTTTCGCCCTGGGAGTAGCGATCTCGTACTGTCTCCCGCGGAACTTTTAATGGGCAGTGTGCGGTTTGGGCGGGAATCTCTAATGTCGAGCTAATCGACGGAAATCGCATCGGGCCACGCTCACTCCCGGAAGCTCGTCCTCGAGGCTGGAGGGGGGCGAGCAGTAACCTTCTTGTTGTCCGCCCACCTTCCAATTCAATTATTATAAATGACGTCGATTAATCGAGAGCTCCGTGGAGGCTCTAGAGTCCGAATCGATTCCGGACGAGATTGGTGGTGAAACATGATCGAGAGTTTGGTGTAGATAGAGATAGAGAGAGATTTGTCTCCCTTCGGGATAAATTCATCAACCGCTCGACGGCGGCGATCCTATCGCCCGCCATCTTCTCAGCTTTAATAGGTAATGACACCGTATTGTGAGCGGAATGACTAATCCGCCATGCGAAAGGAGAAATAAACGGCAGAACATTCCCGCGCGATGTCTGTCATGAGACGCTCCGCTTGACTCTGTCGCACCTGATATCGATGCCGCGTCGCCCGCAGCTTCGAAAGAGCTCATGGGATCGGTATTGTCCGCGTCGGCACTCGGCTCCTCTGCTAATCAGTGTCATCCGAAGCATGCGACCGGAAGTTCACACTTCTCTGAATTTCTTCTCGCGATTGGGTTGAGAGAGCCGTTTCCCGCATGTCATGGATATCCTGTGATTTTCATTCTTGTCTTCATGTGTAAGACACCTCCCCACGGCTGTGTCACCCGTCGATGCTAGCGTTACGATAGACAGGAAAGATGCAGAATCGGAAAGCTTCCTGGTTCCGTTGCCTCGAGGCCCACCCGCCTCGAAGTCCCCAGGGAAAGCTGTCTTGTCCATCCCTTATTTCCAGCCCACCCTACGAAAGATGTCCCGGACCGAATGTGGCTCCGGAGGGTGGGGGGAGGGGGAAGCCATGAGGCTTAGCGCTCCAAGTGCTTGCTTGTCCGCGTATTCTCTGGTTGCCTGAACCCTCAGCTCTGGAGATCGGTCTTTGGATGCCTCGCGGAGAGTTTGTGCCCTCTATGTGGCTCGTTCACGCTAGGAGGGACGAGAGGCGCCCAGGTTCTCTCGAGTATGCATCTGTGTGACTGCGGCCCGCCGTCGAGGATCCGTTCATCGGTGCTGAACCGGAGGACATTTCGGTATCTCCAGCTATTTTTACCATATACAGTTAATCATACGGAAGGTGTCAACTTTGAAAAAATTATGTACAGCTATTTTCACCATGGGAAGTCCTGTTATGAGGAAAAGTCTGCCTTCACATCGGCGTCGCCTGAAGATCACGACTCCCAATACTGACCACTGGGTTCACCGGGCCCACACCCGGCCGATTCCGACGTCGACAAAGATCAGCTGTCGATCCAAGAATCCGGGACAGATCATTCTAGAATTCCAGAGCTTGTTTCCTTCTCCAAATGGAATGAGACATCCAGAAGAAAGCTCGACATGACTCCATCGGCATCATACCCTCGCAACGCATGAATCTCCCGAGATGGATCCGCGATGTCTCGAGAAAATCCCAGCTCATCCCGGGATAAGTGGGCATTCTCACTGAAGTGAGGTAAGGGACCGTCGAGCGGAAAGGAATCTCTCGAGACGAACACACTTTTAGGGCCTGCTCCAATCCATGAAAGCACTCATGGATAATTTGAGATGAAACGTTATCGGTGAGCCGTGTACGATGATGATAGAATGCGAGAGTTTCGATCCTCAGCTGTATGGAATTGTTGGCCCTGATAATATCCCTGGCTGATCAAGCGGGTGGGAAGTCTCATCGAAATTCCAGAAACTCAGCTGACTGAAAGAAGTTTCGCTAAGCGGATCAGAAGTGAGGGCCGCGTTGTGAGCCGCTTCCGTGGACGAGAGAATCGACCGCGAGTAGATCCGCACCTTTCTAATGCTCCGCTTTCATATCGTTGTTGGTAGATAACATCATTCAATTAGTATCGAGGCTCGCGAAGCCTCCGCTGTCTGCACTTGTTGACGACAACCGAGAGGACTACGCAGGAACGGAATCCTAAAAACCTAGACGAAGACTCGAGCGAGAAACCTGCGGCGGGGAGCATCTTGCACCAATGAGGGAAATTCCACATCGTTTATGTCAGATGAATACTCAGCCCGAACCCATGAGGAAAACGGCGCTTTCGTTCCGAACACCAGACCAGGGTAAATTTTATTGTTCCACGACTATGGTCGCTCTCACGGTTTCTAACTAAACTTCTTCTATTTGTACTCAACCGCGGAATAACGCAGCGTGTGATCATCAATAATCAGGAGGCACATTTCCGAAGAACGCTCGTTACGGTAGATGTGGGTATGGTTTTGAGAAAGCTCCGGAAAGAATGTCACGCGCGACACCCCTCCATATATATCCTAGTTTACAAGATTCATAACAACAACGCCGCCGTTCCGAACCCCAGACTCATCTGCTCCGTCTGAGAGTTCGCTCAGGGCGGCCAAAGTAACAATATGTTCACAAAGATTTCGACCGGACCACATTCTCACCACTGTGTCGGGTCGCAAGCACTCCCGATCGATGATTACTTCCCGGGTCGGTCAGCGTATGGGTCGTCGACACGCAAATTGCAATGGAAGATGAACTTCATCGGATTCGTTTTCGAGGTGGATCACATCGAAGTTTTTTTGGTTTTCCGTTTGTCTAAACGAGACGGCTTATATTAATGCAGAAAGCTAAATAGGTATGTAGAATCCTGTACAAGCATAAATACAGATACATCGCAGTCGATGACTTCGGGAGCGATCAAAAGAACTCTGACGACACCATTCGGACAGGTCAGCGAAGCAATGCGACACCGGTGGAGCTTGACCGAGGATCATATGAATCCACGCTAAAGGAACGCTTCTGCGGTCGCATCAGGTGTCATGGCGCATGTGTCCACGCATGGGAAATCGCGAGAGAACAATCGTCCTCGATGATATCTCATGGGTGTTGCACTCAAGCTCGCGCTGTATCGTTTTACAAAACACATTCGATAACGTACAACTGCTCGACAACCAGAGCTGGCGCGAAACCACCAGGGTAGTTTTCGTCTTCGAACTGCACGCTGTACCCTTCCTGGGGTCCGTGAGGGATCTCGTCGACCAAACCCCTATAGAAACAAGTGGTTTGTGGATAGAGTGCGTTCACAACAGTGCCTTTGGGAAAAAATGCCTCGGGGTTCGTGATGGGGTTCGCTCGCATCAGCGGCAGCGGGATAATGTGCTTCCTGAGCAGGGTAAGCGTTTCCGGATGCTCGTCGTCGATGTCGTCGACTTGGTACCGACCCGAAGTCCGATCGTAGTGACGGACCCTGGCCAGGATCCATTCCTCATCGTCGTCGTTCTTCACGAAGGCTGCCACCATCGAGTGGGGCTCGGCTTCGTGACCCGGAGGTGCTGGTACCGCTCCACACAGCGGCGGAGGCTTCTCGTGGTCTGTCGGAACCCACAGAGGTAATTGACGCGCCAAAGTCTTCAAATTCATCATCAGAGCGCTTTTACGCACGACTTCGCCTCGCTGGGTTCTACCAAGACCGGACAGGAAGCCAGATCGGGCGCTGTTGGCAAGACGGATATTCTTGATGACGTCGAGACTCATTCGGAGAGCGTTCTCTTCGTTTTCACAAGAGTCGATCGATCTCCAAAAACATTTCTTGAGCTCATGCTTGGTCTCGCTCGATATCTTCTTGTCTTTTTCCTGCTCTTTCAGCGCGCAGTGTTTGGCCAACACAGCAGCATGGATCTCGCGCTGGGTCTCGTGTCGCAAGGCTTGGATATTCCTCATGAGATGGGCCAGTTCCTTCAACGACTCTTGCAGAGCCGGGACGTTCTGCCGATGATGGACCGCGACGGACATTTTCGCAACCAGCGGTCTTTTCTCCTCGCCACGTTCTCCCCTTCGATCGTGCCGAAAAACGACCTCGCGTCGGATATCCGCATGCGTCGGGGGTTCACGATGGATCTCGTTTGCGTGTCTATCGTTCTGAGGCGACGGATCCTGCAAGATTCCACGAAAAAGCGGAGTGAGAAAGAGGCTATCAGGTAGAATCGAGGGAAAGGTTCGACTTTTGAGACGGAAACATGCGGGCCTAGGGGTCGCGTATGAGGAATGAGGCTGGACGCGATCCTCGGAAACCTATCGCATGATTCTGCGCCGTACCCGTTCTTCAGTACGTAGCGAGTCCTTATCTTAATAATCAAATCGTTCAGAAAGGCGAGCGGAACATTTGAGGCCCTCGACGAAGAAGACATCGAGACGGCTTTATGTGAACTGTTCTCGATAGATCTGCGATCATGACGGACTAATCGGAATGCCCGTCTGACGTGGAGTCTTAAGAAGCCGGACTTAATTCAAGAAGCCCGCTCGATTTCGAGAGCTCAGAGGTCATCCCGCCTTTGTTTACTCGGGTTGGCCGCGACACATGCACACAGTGGTGTCACACAACCACCATCTACCATTGGTGCTTCGGCATCGGCAGCAGCAGCAGGGTCGACAACAACATAGATTTTAGCGGGCTTTGATCATCGCTAGAAGGTTGACTTTGGATGGAGAAATCGGAGATGACAGTCAACTTACAATGACGAGCCGAAGGCTTCGGTCCCAGACTCTCACGGTCGAGCATCGGGAATAATATGTTCGCTCTCTACTAGCCCCCGGAACGTTGTCTCTCACAATGATCCTCAATGGCGCCCGCAGCAGCCTCTACGGCGCAGCTGATATGTGGCATAGTATCCACATAGAAGCTCGTCATAGAAGGTCAGCTCACCCACGCGCTCCGCTCGGGAGAGAAAACTCTCAAGCTGTGGGTGTCGTCGGAATATGAAGGCGCACAGAAACCATCTCGGTGCGCAGAATAGCGTCGTTTGGAGGGGAAAGGCTTCCCCCTGTGGAATTGAGGATTCCGTCATGAAGCATTTCTTACAAGGGTCTTCCGGAAAACTCTCAGATTTCAATTGCCAGTGGAAGACAATCAAATCTCTGGAAGTCGAGCAGGAAATCGGGAGATCTGTATCTGATATCCGGGAGTACCGGGAAATCAATTGCTTACAGGGGAGAGACAGAAAGTTTGAGAGGATCCGGGGTATATCGGGGGCTCCCTTCGTGCAGTGAGGACTACCGTCAAGATCTCTCCCCACCCCCGGAGTCGGATCGCGAGCGCTCTGAAGGCAATCTCATCAGCCGGGCTGATCTCCGTTTTTCGTATCATGCATGTTTGAACGAATTCCATCAATGCCCTGACACGATCCGAATCCAACCATCAAATTATCTCGTTCAATGGATGCGGAGAACATGATACAGTCCGAATCCTGGAACTACCCTCGATATCAGAGAATCATTGAAAATGGGGATTAATATTCTGGGCGGTTCGAATTATAGATTCAGCAGTTTCTCGATCGGGCAGTTAAGAAAATGATTTCGGGCAGAAATTTCACAACTTCGGCAGTTTTATTACTTAGGACTAGCAGCTTTTTTTCAATTCGTACAAGTTTATTTTACAAAGCTGGCAGTTATTCACGAGGAGTCGGGCAGTCTTCGACAACGAGACTGGCAGTTAGATTTGCAAGGAGAGAAGCTCATACTTCTTCTACCCTAGTCGACGAGGAGAGCGCGAGTTGCCCTCCTCGGTCTACCTGGCTTCCGTTTCTGACCCAGAGGAATCTGCTTA